TTTATAATTATTATTCTTCGTATAATTATTATCATTATTATATTAACACTTGTAGTTACAAATTTAGTTAGTTTATAGCGTAGTAATTAGTTAACCATAGTAAATTAATTTTTATAAATAGAATAGCTTTTTGCTCATGTTGTAAAATAACTCTCTTGTAAGTTCTAAAATACTTGTGAGTTTTAAGTAATAAATAAAGGAATCAACTTTTAAAAATAATTACTTTTCTCTTCTATGTATCTATCATCTAGGATTTGATCGTGAACCACTGTACTAACTTGCGATTGAGTTCGTTACTTAAAATAAATAAATTCTCTAAATTTCTTAAGTCCCTAAACCCTTAAGTTCGTAAACCAAGTGAAGTAATTCTAAGGCATTCTGGATACCTGTAGGACGTAAGATTCCCTAAAGTTGTAAAGTCTGACGATAAAAAAGTTACTTACTGCAGCAAAGGAACTTGAATATATTACGTGAAGTAATAAATGAAGATTATTTCTGGTGATAACGCAAAAAAGTTCTTAAAGTTATTAAGTTAAATCATTATCCTTCAGATACTTAAAACCTTGCTATATATGTTGAATTCTATTTTTCAGTCAGTAGATTTCATAATTGACTCGTATAACAATATATATTTATTTTTTTATAATTTAATATAAATAACCTATTAGCAAATATGATTTATTAACTTAGTGATATACTATTTAAGTTTAGTAATAACAATAATACTAATAAAAAATAGATTTATAATATCAAATTTTTAATTTTTAAGTTTATATAAAAAAACTATTTTAATACATAAATTTTAGTAATAATATTAAATTAGAGAACATATTCTGTAATCAATAATAATTTAAATATTTAATTATAATAAAAAATAATTTGTTTATTTAATGATTACAAACTTTTTTGTTATATAACTGTTCTATATATAGTAGTGTTCATTAAATAAATATTTATAAATTTAATTATAAATAGATTTTAATATATATAAAATTAAAATATAATAAATATTTAATTTTCTTTTAAAATATCAAAAATTATTTAAATAAAATTATATATAATTTATTTTAAATTATAAATACTTATATATTATCCATAATAATTAAATCATCTATATATTAATAAAATATATAAGTATATTAAATTAATTATTTAAAAGATTTTATTTATATTTTAAAAATAATTACCAATACTTTGATAATTTTCTTCATTTAAAATATTATTTTGATTTAATACTACATTTAATCTTTCAGTAAAATCAAGTAAACGACTTGTATGATATGCTTGTGAATGAGATTTTATAGAAATTTTATCAGTATTATTCTTTTGTTCTTGATTTAATATTTTATCTGATTTATAAAACTCTATAATGTCATCTATCAAATTTTTATCAAAATTTTTAATAATAATATTTTGATACCAATTTTCAACAATTTTTTTAATTTCTGATGCAATTGGTCTTTTTAATGGATCTATATCCCAACATCTTTTCATTAAATTTATATAACATTGTGGAATATTTTTAATATCTTTAGGACGTTTACCTTTGCAAATATCTAAACTAAGTTGAAAATCATGAGCTTCATTATCAAATGGAGAAATTCCAGATATAAATTCCCACATAAT